TTTCAGAAAAGTATACAGATGATTATACAATCTAGATAATGATGTACTGTGAAAGTAGTGCTATGGAAGCCAAAAGCAGGAGAGATAATTTCTATCAAAGAGGATCTGTTTGAGTTGTTTTTTTTGTTTTTTTTTTTTGAGACAGCGTCTCACTCTGTTGCCTGGGCTAGAGTGCTGTGGCGCCAGCCTAGCTCACAGCAACCTCAAACTCCTGGCTCAAGCAATCCTCCTGCCTCAGCCTCCCGAGAAGCTGAGACTATAGGCATGCACCACCATGCCCGGCTAATTTTTTATATTTATATTTTTAGTTGTCCAGCTAATTTCGTTCTATTTTTAGTAGAGACAGGGTCTCACTCTTACTCAGGCTGGTCTCGAACTCCTAAGCTCAAACGATCTGCCTGCCTCAGCCTCCCAGAGTGCTAGGATTACAGGCGTGAGCCACCGCGCCTGGCCCAGAGTTCTTCTCATGTGCCGCAATCTTTATGCTAGAGGAGAAAGATTCTAACTTATGGAAGTAGGTAGAAAGACCATTCCAGAGAGAGAAAAACATAAGCAAGCATGAGCAAATGAAGAGGCAAGAAATCATAATTTGTGTTCAGAAAACTGAATAGTATTTTCTGGATGAGGAGTAGTAGGAGGAAGGTAGGAAAAGTGGTTTTAATGGTAATGTAATAGTGAACATTTTTTGAACATTTATTTTATGTCAGTGAGCTTTACAGATGTTAACTTGTACTTTTACTCATTTTACACACGAGAAAACATGGTTCCAGGTAAGTTATGTAACTTGCCTGGGATCACAGAGTTAGCAAGTGGCGGAGCCAAGAATAGAACCCCAGCAATCTAATTCTAGAATTCAGATCCTTAACCACTGGCTTCTGGAGGACTTTGATATCAACTTAGGGATTTTAGACTGCTGGTTTCCTGCAATGCAGCTGGGAATACCATATCCCTTTGCTGTGCTTATACATTTGTGATGACTTTTTACTGGCTATAAAATCATTACCTGGAGATACGGCTTGGAATGGAATAGGGAAAAGACTAGAGGTAGGGTATCAGGCAATTATAGTAGAGCAGGCAATAGGTATTGTGGAAATCTATAACTGTTACTATATTATATTAATAGATCAAAAGCATACAGTGTAGTTTTGCTCTTTTTTATTTCAATAGATTTAGGGGGTACAAGTGGTTTTTTGATACATGGATGAATTGTATAGTGTTGAAGACAGGGCTTTTAGTGTACCCATTACCCAAATAGTATACATTATACCTGATAGGTAATTTTTCATCCCTCAGCCCCCTCCCGTTTTCCCAAGTTTTTCTACAAAATATAAAATTCTATTTTCCTTATATAAATCTTCAGATAAAGCATAAGAAGAAAAATGTGGTTGTTTATTGCCGGCGTTATAAGAATGAGATAGTATATAGCTTACTTTTAGGTAAGCTAACACGTTTTTTTCTTCTCTACTTTAAGAGTTACAGAAAAATTTGATACTGCTGAGATCTTTTTTATTGACTTTTATTCCTCTCTGAAAAAAGTCCTGTAAATGAGACCTGGAGAAAAAAATTCAAATAAAACATTCTTTTGTAAGGAAAGTTTTGTCTTAACTTTTAATGTAAAATAAGATACTTTTGGTCTCTTCCTGTCATTTTCTAAAGAGTGAAAATTAGCAAATCTGGATTTATTGAAGAAACTGCAAATAAGCGACAGAAACCTAAAAGCTTTTTGTCATCTGCTGTACCATAATGATTTAGTTGTGTGACTCAAGTTCATAGTACTTGCCTCCCAGATGATTGTATTTGCATTAGAGATGTTTGAGGTTCAGAAATGCTGAAATGGTGGAATATGAGCTAAGGGACTTTCCCTCTGAGTATTATGCTAGAAATTTAGTTCATTAATTTTAAGTTTGGATTTCGATTGGCTAATCTGTGTTTTAAAAAATTTTTTCAAATCTATTCTCTTTTTTTAGGTCATAAATAAAGTTGATCTTAAGGCAAATCATGTTGTAAAGAGAGATGTTGATGAGCATTTGAGAATCAAGACTGTCTATGATAAAAGTATTGAAGAGTAAGTATACCATATTTTGTCATCTTTTTTATTATGAATCTAAATACTAAAAATCTGTTACCTGAAGTAGAAAAAGTCCATAGATGAAACTAAAAAGGGGCTAGTGTAACATCAAGGTGGAATTAAGTAAAAAATGCATTTTAGTCTGAAAAGATAAAGGCCATGGGATATTGTGAAAGTCTAGACATCATGAATAATTTAAACAGAACAAATGTGGATCTACTTGGATGTGGTCAACAACAGACCTAGAAGGTACTCCTCAGTAAGTACTTAGAGGAAAAATAAAAGGAAATAGTAATATAAATAATAATAATAAAGTTTACAAAATTGTTAACCAGACAGATTATATAGTCTAATTTTTATTTAGTATAAGAAGAGTCCAGAAAACAGATAAATTATGAATCCATAGTAGTCTATGAAGAGCTGTTAATAGTTGATGTCTTTCCCTATCCTTAACATCCCCAATGAATCAGATAACTTATGATCGTGCTTAGCACCATGCTTCGGCACAGAGTAAGCTCTCAAATATTCATTGAGGTAAGTTGAAATTTTGGAAGATAGTTTTTGTATGCTTCCACACAGCATTCCTTGGGTCTCTTGACAGATGCATCCTGAACAGATGAGAAGTGCTCTGCCTCAGAGAGGCCATTCTTATGTTTTATGTCATTATTTTCAGGTTGCTCCCTGAGAAAAGAAATCTTGTAAAGGTATGTACTAAGTACTCCTGGCTTGAATTGGATACTTAAAATGGATGCATTTTATTATATATGTAAATTCTACCTCAATAAAGAAAAATATATGTATGACTATTTTGTGAATGACCGAATTAAAGTTGTTGGTAGTGAATGTATTTATCATTTACCAAAGGTGTCTTTGTGATGAACTCACCAAAACTTTGTTAGTATAAGATATTAAATTAGTCATCATATTTTATAATTTGATATTCAATCAGTATTCATTTTCTTGTCTGCTCTCTCAACTTTTTTGGGAGCAGGGAA